GCCGCCACACCCCTCTAGCCCAAACAAGTCCATGTTAGGGTCTTAAATTGCATTACTGTAAGTAGCTAATGTGATGTAAAACATATTACATTCCTAATTCTATGAGCCGCCTTTGTGCCACGCCCCTCGAAGCAAGCCCAAACAAGTCCATGTTAGGGTCTTAGGGCTTGTTCATTTGCTCTAAAGTCTGACATCTAAAAGTGCAATAATTACATTAAGAGGTATATTGGTATTGGTGAATTTTTCTTTCCTCTGAACTCTGCAGAGAATGTTGATTTGAATTCTGAATTCTGAATTCTGAAAATTATCAAATATCCATTTTGGCCCTATATATGAGAGTTTTTGTTTGTCCTTTTGGGAGTATCATTGGAAAACAAAAAGTTGTATGGTTGCACTTTAAGAGATAAGAGATAAGAGGAAATGAACAACCATTTTTCTCTTAAAGTTAAAAGATTCCTCTTAAGAGATAAGAGTTAAGAGGAAACGAACAAGCCCTTAAATTCTTACTTTTCACACAAAAAAATAATGATTTTATAATTTTAATTGCTTTTTAAGAAGATATTTTATTAGGATGAATGAATGAACAACATTAGCAAATAGGGGGTTCTTGTGCTTTTTAAATCACTAATAAATACAAAATAGATTTTTATAATATAAAATATTGAATAACTAATTATAAATTTTTTGATCGGACATTAATTATAAATTTTATATAATTATATGTGTATACATGCATTTCATATAAAATTTAATTGGATTGGATGGGTCAATCCTTTTATCAAATTTAACCACTTCACCAAATGAGATAGCATCATCAAGATTGTCTTTATCTATTTTATCTCCCTTTCCAAGTCTGACTACCTCTCAAAGATATTCAATGCCTTTCCACACAAGGGTTTTGCTCTATATGTCTTCCTCTAACTAACTGTACCCTCACCTTCAATCATATAATACTCCTTGAACATCCAATAGTAATTGCACCCCTCTCTGTCATCTAATGCCTCTTGCAAACAATTTCATCCACCATATCCCTATTTGTCCCAAAATTTCTTTCTTATCAAAGGAATCCAAATCATGTTGCTCAAAGGATCAATATGCTTTCCAAACCTTATCCTTGGCCCCTTTTCTTTTGTACACCCTTTTGAACTTCTTACATGGGCCAGGCAATATAGCCCACTCCAGCCTTGAAAAACAAACCACATTTGCTATGACAGTGTCATAGCGCTGTGCTGAAACAACTAAATCAAAAGCTTTGATGTATTTCCATGGCCCCACCTTGAATTGGATGAAGTGACTTCTTACATCTAAGGCCATGATTTTCGGTTTTAGCCCTATGCTAATACAGTGTCGTAGCAAAAGTGAACTCCTTGAAAAAATACTAGAAACATGCAATAGTTGAGGGGTTCTAGGACCTAAAATCACTTGCCCCAGATTACCAGTATTCTCCTTCAATGTAGAGCCACCATCCTTCCCATTTAATCTTCCATTGTTGCTATAATCAAATACATTAACCCATAAATTCCCTTCTGGACAACCCAAATATGCTCCAATCTCCATGCTGACTGATTGTAACTACAGAACACTCTCCTCTTCTTCTTTCCTGTTCAGTAGGGCCATCAATTGATGATGAGCCACCCTCCTCTCTCTCCTATGCCATCTTTTGTATTAAGATATGCATTCGCCCTTTTAATTTTATATGCATCATCTCCCTTCCAGTCCAATGTACAAAATGATATTTCCATCACAGTGAGAGAAACATAAAGTACAGAAGAATGTGGTATGAAGTCCAAAATGAATAAAAAGGAGCAGTTATCATAAAAAAACTGGTCATTAGAATGAACACCAAAGTTATAAACGGTAAGCATACCAAACTATTATAATAACCAGCAGACAGTGGAGCGCATTGTATGCAATCACAAGGAACCCAAAGAAGATCACTCCCAGTGTCCAAAGCAACCAGAAAAGAAATATTCGGTGTCCCAATATCAATCCACATGTAATGTAACCTGCAGATTGGATAAGGTGGATGTTCAAAAATAGAATTGACAATAATAATTTATTCCAAATGTGAAACAACAACCACAAAAGGTTACGTTGCAAGGATAAAGCTGCAAGCTGCTTCCTAACAACAAAAGGAAAACCACCAATGATGTATCATAATTCTATCACTCGAAAAAGTTCCAAGATATTGGCAGATATATAATTACTGGAAGTTTGGTCATAAAGTAGTCAAAATTATAATTACACTTCAGGGGAAAAATTGAGAAATTTATAGCATTATAAGCTCCAAGCCTAGAGATAAAAAAATTTTAGCAGTCATTGTAAACAAGAGTTGGATGAGACATTCGAACTGTTAACCAGAATAACTTCTGGGCTTACACCGTAGCCATTGAAGAGCATAAAAAAGTTTGTTTTTCATTAAAAAAAACACTTTAGCTGTATATTGGACCGTCAAAATATTTAACTTCTATTCCTTGCATATTTTTTCCTTTTTCTTTTCTGGAAAGGAATACTGGCAATATTGTTATCAATTCTCCTTTGTGACATCATGATGACAAAAGATTGAATGCTAGAACCATCAAGCAGTAAATGTTGTGGTCAAGAGTCCAGTTTAGTTGTAGAATAATGATTTTGTAGAGTCCCACTTGTCAGGTAATAACTACTTCATTGAGTACAAATTCCCTCTACGCATGAATAGATCAAAATAAGATCAAGAATGAAATACCAGCTTCAGAGTGCAACTTGGAGATGCTAACAATACAAGTTGGTGGTTAAGTGGCCCAAAATCATCTGCGAGTAGGTTCAATTGAACCGAATGCTATGCATCATGGACTCATTGACTCGGATATTTCCAAACACCTGACCGGCTGACCCCCCAAAAAAATGCAAATACAAAGACTCGCTGAAGGTCAACTCAGCCAAAATTTAATATCCTGACGTAATCATTTCATTAAAATATAATTTGTAGAATGATACATCAACCATTCCTATCAGTGGCCTCACAGTCCCCAACTTCAAGTACAAAGACCGTGTCAATAAACAGCAAAATGTTAGCGTAAATATGCAAAGTTTGTCAAACTTATTGGTAGATAAGTTACACAACTCAAAGTCTAAAACAAAGTCTAAAGCATAGACCACGAATCAACCCCGCCTCCAGAAAGCGATGTCCATTCAACAAAGCAAGGAACCAGGAAGAGAGAGAGAGAGAGAGAGAGAGAGCAAACAAATGACTGAACTAACCATCCAAAGTCATTTCCAAAGGACATAGTCTTGCTGCCCTCAGACGGGAAAAGCAACTGATACTGAGGCCCAAGCTTCATCTTCTGCAACTGCAAATCACTGCTTGCGAGCAACTGATAGTATTCCATGCTCCTCCACCTAGGCCACGAACCAGGCGGCTCTCCATTTCTAGAAACCCTAAATGCCTTCGCTTCATCGGAGAAACGATGAATGAGCTTCGAAGAGAGTGTAACGGCCAGAGAGTCCCCTATGAGAATAAACGCCACTAACAGACAAACCAAAACCCGAGTTGCCATTGCTACTGGAAACTGAAACCAAGGCAAACTGATAGCAAAATAGACACCTAGGGTTTGAGGGGACAAAGAAACACTTCAATTAATTGTTAGATGTCAGCAAGAAATGGAAGGTTCAACAAAGTGGAGAAGTTAGGGTTCCGACAGAGAGAGAGAGAGAGAGATCTAGGGTTTTGAGAAGCTCCTTCGAATTCAATGGAAACCTTTTTTTTGGATAATTTTATATGTGTTCACTTGGAAAAAGGAGATATCGGAGGGAAGATGAATGTGGAGCTTTTTCGAATCTCTGTTAGAACTTTCAAAGTAGATATACGGGGAAAAGGCTATCTCGCGCCCTATGCACGTTACGCACCCCTCCAAACCCAGGCGCACAACTCGAAAACCACAAAAGCTATTCCGTATTTCTATTCAACGCCTCGACGGGAAGAAGCGAAAGCGATAGCAACGACCAACAGCCGCTTTTGCAGTTGCGCCATCAACTCTCTATGCCATGCGGACACGTGGCCGTAAGATGCGGAATTTAACCCAATAAAATAAGAGTTCAGATCTGCGCCTCATAAAATAATCGATGAGAATTCTCTCTGTAGCGGGGTGCGCGTTACGCACCACGTGTAGAATAGAAGAGGCAAGCATTTATCTTATCTTAATGACAGTAATAATATGAGGATGAGGGATTGACGGGGGACATCACAAGACCACGACGAAGAAGGAGAATGATCCCCCCACAGCGACGTGGCTGAAAACAACGTGCTTGGTTGGCTGGACGTTGCCTCTGACTTGTAAGACCCATTTCTTCTTCTCTCTCCGGCTCTCCCCTAAAATTTTCTGGGTCTGGGACGGATGTCCAATGGTTGTGCCCAAGATATCTCAAGCACTATCATCTCTTGTCAGATAATTCTCGTCGGATCCACGGGCCAGAAATAAGTGAAGATTCTGTCGTTGGGATCCCCTGTTGCTGCTGCTGCTGTATGGTTCACTTAAAATGGACATAATCATCCATATCCGTGGTCAGGAATGCTTTTGGTAATTGTATAGTGGGCATTGCTCATGAAATTGACTGGTCTGTGACTGTTGCCTTTTTGCGTAGAAACTAGAAACTAGGGGCGATGCACCAAGCGTTGCCTGATGCCATCCTTACAAGTAGAGGTGGATTCGAGCCGAGCCGAATAGTACCAGGTTTGAAATTATTTTATAAGGCTCGAGCTCAAGTTTGAGCTTGGCTCGAGTTAAGAGTTTATAAGCTCGAGCTCAGTTCAGCTCAGCTCATTTTATATTTTATAAAAATATTTTACTATATATTTTATAAATATTTTATTATAAAAATATTTTATAAAAATAAAAATTATATATAATTTTTTATTTTATATTTAAAAAATTAAGAATTATAATATTTTTATTATATATATTATTTTCTATAATTTTATTATATATATATATATATATATATATATATATTTGAGCCAACTCTCAAGCCTCATGAGTCAAGCTCTAATAGGCTCGAGCTTGGCTCGTTTAATTATCGAGCCACTGAATTGGGCTCGAGCTCGGTTGAAACTGAGTCGAGCCGAGCTCGAGCAGCTTATGAAAAGCTTGGCTCATTGCCACCCCTATTCACAAGACGGACGCGGTCAGGGTGGCAAGGATGTATGTGGAAACCATGGCTTAGAGTTAGGGGCATTTGATAAAATAGCTGAACTAGCTGAATGACTTATTGTTTTTTGTATTTTAGTAAAAAAAAAACAAGTTTTTAAGGTGTTCCTTGTTAGCTGAAGCTAAAGCTGTTTTTTTATAAAGTAGCTGAAGTTGAAGTTAGATCAATTAGTATGCAATTAAATATTTTATTATTTAATTATTTTATCCATACAATAAGTAATTTAGTTCAACCATTTTAGTCATCATCAAATGGCTTTTTATACAACTAGACCTGGCAATTGGGTTGGGTGGCTCGGGTTCGGGTTGGATCAAGACATTTGGGTTTGATTGAATTTTGGGTTGGGCCAACAAATGTTAGAGCCTAACCCTAAATGTTTGGGTTAGGGTTGACCCGTGGGTCAATTTGGGTCCTGCTTAAAAATAATTAGAATTTTAAAAAGTAAAGAAAAAACAAGAAAGTGTCAAAATTAAAAGAATTAACCTTAAAATTCCAAACATAAAATAAAAAATTTGAACATTCAACAATTCAAATAGTAAACGATAATGAATAAAGACTAAGGAGTCATTTGATTGCACTTTTCAGAGGTCTAAATCTAAAAATGCTACTTTTAAGACCTCACCCCTTGTTTGGTTCTAAATTGGTCTAAATCTTATTTTCAGATCTAAAATAATAGACCTTGGGCCGGCTCTTAACACACTTAGACGTGTTTTAAAGTCGGTGCATAGTCCAAAATATCCTTCCAATATTTTAGAAATGATGCGACTTACCCCTAATAACCCTAAACCCAGAAAACCTTAACATTCGACCTCTCTCTCTCTCTCGCTCGCTCTCTCCCTCCCTTGTCTTCCCACCACCACCACTACCGTTGAAAGTTGCAATGGTGGCTCTCTCTCTCTCTCTCTCCCTTGTCTTCTCTCTCTCTCTCTTGCTCTCACTCTCTTCCTCCCTTGTCTTCCCACCACCGCCACCGCCATTGCAAGTTGTAGTGGCGTCTCTCTCTCTCTCCCCCTTGTCTTTTCTCTCTCTCTCGCTCGCTCTTTCTCTTTCTCTCTCTCTCTCTCTAGCTCTCTCTCTCTTTCTTTGCCCTATCTTCTGCCACCGCCACTGCAATTTGCAGCGGTGACTCTCTCTCCCCTATCTTCCCACCACTGCCACTACCATCGCCGCTACAACATGCAACAACGGTGGTTCGGTGAATAATAATAATAATAATATTTTTATTAATTATTAATTATAAATTATTTTTATTAATTATTAATTATTTTAATATTTTTTATTAAATTTACTTTTGTTATTTATTAATTATTAATTATTTTTAATAACTAGTAATTTTTAATTATTTCATTAATTTTTAAAAATTATATTAATTTTTATTTGTGTAAATTATTAATTAGTAACTATTAATTATTTTAATATTTTTATAGTCATTAATTGTTTTTTTTTAATTTTAATCGTTTCATTTATTAATCAGTAATTATTAATTTATTATTTTTTATTTGTATTGTTTCAATATTATTTTGAGGTTGAAAATTATTTTTTATGAGATCATGCAAATTGAATTCAACATTTCCAAATAGTATGTTTTAAGGGTAAAATAGTAAATTTCAGATGGTAAAGGGTTGATCCAACACAAACAAACTTATGGATTCAGATCCTCTAAAAAGTAGAAAAGCATATATGCCTCTATTCAGATTTCGGACACTTTTAATATCTTTTTAACTTTTCAGATATGAATTTTCAAATTTATCAAACGCCACCTAAATGGTAATGATTAAAGAGTGGAAACTTCTAATAATATATAAATAGTCCCAATTAGACCTAACAATCAGGTTGGTGGGTTAACCCATGACCCAATTGAAGGGATGAGAGATCCATCATATGGATAGCCAAACCCTGCAGGAAGATAGGGCAAAATTTCATAAATTTCTCTCTCCCATGTGGGAATCGCATTCCCTGTTTTAGAAAACTGCTTTTCAATGATCAATCTTGAACCTAGAACCGAACCAGATCTGAACCAAAACAGTAGGAGAGGGATATACCTGATACGAAGATGCAATATCTCCCAACGAAGGTGTTCACGCCCAAAGAAAGACTCCAAAGACTGCTC